ACTTAAATCCCAATGCCGAAACTTTTGGCCTTTATCCACCACTACTTTAATCTGTTCTTGCCGTGATCGCCAAGATCAGCTTTGCGGGCAAGTTGCTTGAACCATCCCAAAGTCTCGAAACTTCTAACAAGAGATTTTCATGTCTGAAGAGAGTAACTGAAAGCCGAAAGTTGTGGTGGTTATGAAACATATTTGTATACACTATGTTCACGATCCATCTTGTAATTTTAGGTGGTAACGATAGCAATTTATTCATTCTTTGCTGCAAGTTTGTTCAGTCGACAGTACTTGAATCCAGCGAAAGGTTACGACGGTCATGAAGTCGATTTGTATTTTCCTGTCATTACCATTAGCCAGTTTTTCTTTTACATGGGCTGGCTCAAAGTTGCAGAATCTATCATCAATCCTTTTGGAGACGACGACGATGATTTCGAGGTGGAGGCCATTATCAGGCACAACAAGGAGGTATGATCAAAATGGTGTAAATTTATCAATGCTTAACAAGTTTTTGTATATGAATTTATTGCACGATAAGTTCTCGAGCACAATGAGGTTTGAGCCAAAGGCGGATATTACGGTTTGAAGGGAATCGCTTTGGGGATTGATTTATGTTCCTTAGGAACCGGGCTATAGTTATGCTACCGTCACTAATTCGACTGAGATCGACGTTTACTATGAGAGGATTTTCACCCAGCATCTAACTCATATGCCAAAGCAAATACTCCAATAATGCATCCTTAACGAATTCATCATGATTACTTTGGTGTTGCGTATGAAAAGTGCTTATGTCAGCAGTAGATCACTCAAAAGTCATTATTTTTGCAACTAACCTTCAGCCATATAGTAGAAACAAAAAGAGGAGGAGTGACTGTCATAAGCAGTTCAGTTAAAGTTTTAGCCATCGTATATCATTCTAAGAAAAATATTCCTGAAGGCCAAAAGCTCCCTCGTCAAACTCTGGAATGTGGCTACAACCACATCCACTGGAGGCCTTCACCACATGGCACCTGGCTCTACCAGCATTCTGACGTCACAGCTGTGAGGTGGCACCCAAATTCCAACTACAAAGCATATGAACCCGTTGAGCATCAGGCCGTTTGATTGCTAAAGATGACTTTTGCCAAATCGTATCGTAAGAGAAGTTGCAATTTGCTTGCAGACTCCCTGCAGAGCTACATCGGCCAATAGCAGCTTTCATTCGTTAGGGACCAAGGCATAACGCACCTTTATGTCGAACAGTTGACACATGCATCGAACGGTTAGGCAGCGACGCATATGCTCTTTGGTACATAGTTCTTGCCCAGTGTGAAAGGTCAGCAAATATTCACGTGGCCGTTCATATCAAATTCCTGTACTTTTTCTTGTCAGCAGCTGGCATCATAACGCATAAGCTTATCGCACTATGGACTGAAATGCACAGGATGGGCACGCCTTTGACGGGTCTGCTTTCAGTTCGAGTGCGCGAGCGTTCACCCTCGTTCAGTTCAGTGAGGTAGGTAGTGAGTTATTTGTTTTTACGATTCGACAGAGCTAGAACAGCGGCGTGGTTTCGACATATAGTGAGGGTTAAATGGCAGGACTACGTAACAAACGATCAAATTTGATTCCTCCCTGTTAGAGAATGGAGCGGAGCATAAGCCACAAATTTCAGCCTATGATCTTATTTCGTTGGAGCAGAAACGCGCAGACGTCGATCAGGAGACCAACATGCAACACAGAGGAACAGGTTGATTCAGATGTGATTTCAGGGAGGGGATACCTCCTCATACGATGCAGTAGTCGACGCTTTTGTAGCAAAAGCGTTCGAAAGCTGCGGCACAACGGACATCTCAAACGAGAGATGTTCTGTCAATGAAAACGGCGGAACAAACAGGAATACGAGCTTCATCGCCCATGAGGTGAACACAAATGTTCAAACATATGACAGATGATAAGTTTAAATCACAACTGTTTGTCACATGCTCATGCAATAAACCGTCTTGTTCCTTTAAATACAGTTGTACTTGAATGAAACTTATTCGAATTTCAGATTGCTGAGCAAATCATATCCAACAGCAATATCGTTCCATGTTTGACCTATATCGACTTGCCCCCCGCACCACCTCCTACGAAACCGAAACTGCCTCCAGCAACGTACGCGTTGAACATGCCAGAAAAAATGAACGAGCTGCGAGAAGCTCTTTTACACTAGCTATGTTGATGTACTGATTTAAAGATGAAATTAAACTGTATTATTCAGTTGTCGGTGCATCAGATTAGCGACCGTACCAATTTTTCATTTGTTTTTATCAAAGGAGGGCACTAAATCCATAAGTTATCTTGCTTTGTGTAAATAAAACCTTCAGAAGGTGCCGCACATGAAGAATCTTGACTGGGATTAGGACCTCCAGTGGTAGAAAGAGACAGTACAAAAAACTTCTATGGTCATATGCTGAAAAACTGATGAATGAAAGAAGAGTTGTTCGTTTAGAGCTGAACTTTGGCAACCGAGGCAAGGGAAGTGAACCCACATCGAACGAGGAACCAACATCAAGCCCCTGAAAGGATAGCCGCACTTACATCCTTCAACGACAAAGCCAGTTCAATATTAAACTACTGAACAAAGAATGGGTCGAATTCCAAATAGGAACACTGGTCGAATCCTTGAAAATATTTCGCTTCCATTATTAACGAGTTTTTATCTGGAATACCACATCAGTACCATCTGTGTTCTCTCAAACATTTGTTTATGCTCTTTTATGTAGTAGAATAAGGAGGTTGGGCGGAAGGGGGGGGCAGTAAAATTGTCCACAATGTTTTCACTCGATATGCTAGAAATAAATGAAGCGGTTGATGAATTAAGTAAGAAACATGCACTGTTGTAAGAGGATGGACTCTGGAATACAGATGGAATTTAACAACCGTAGTTGAATTTTGAAGAGAAGAAGATGAGCAAACTTTCCAAGTGTCAAAGGATTAGTGGTTGGTCGTTTGCTGCTGTGACATCACAAAATCAGCAGGGGAATTTTAAAACGTGATCAGTATTTTGATGCAGTAATGAATTGGTCATCGCCGATAGCCATCATCCATTGCCGATAGCTATGAATAGCCTA